TCCCACCTCTGGCTGCTGGGTCCAGACTTTAACTCGGCCTCCCAAATCTGCTGTTCAAATCTACACGGGAGTGATGTGTGCAGGTGTGAAGTGTGAAGTCAGACACTCACAACGGAGCATTAAGATGTATTTTCAAAGCAAATCCAGCGCAGCCTCTCAGCTTCCCACACAATCATGCCGAGGCCCATCATCACACTCTCAGAAGCTTGCAGTGAGGGCACCGCAGGCTCTTACCATCCTAGCATATAAACCAGCCAGAGAAAAGGACACAGTGAGGGAAACTGAGGCCCAATCACCTGGTTCCTGCGACCTTCAGTTCCCTTACCTCTTTGTGCAGAAGCCAGAGGCAGCCTCTCATCTTAGGAGCTCTATTTTCTTGCATACCCAGGGTGGAAGACACTTTTGATATCTGTATTACACCATTCAAGGAAAGACATCTGTTCTGCTACAGACCAATAGTTAGCAGAAACCCTGCACTCCCGAGGCTTGGTACCTCCCCCCGCAGGATTCTTCTGTGGACCCCTCAAGGAAGAGAGGCTCACCATCTGGTGGCCATTTCAGCACCAGTGACTTTGGTTGTGATAAATACCACACACGGCACTACCCTTTATCATCCCATGCATCTCTCCCAGAGTACTGAGACCTCTGGGACAGCAAGAGTTCAAGGACTGTGTGTTTTTCCACTCCTGGTATCTCCAGCTCCCTGTGAGGTATGTGGAACAAAACAAAGTCCCCATAAACACTGGCTCCTATGGAATCAAAGCAATTCAGCCGTCTTCACCAATGTAAGCAAAGAAGCAGTGAATTCCAGACTTTCCAATGATATGTGATGTTGGGTCTCCAATTAGACCATCAAGATGCGGGTGGATAGAAATGAGTGGGTTTGGAGATGAGGGAGCTTAAAAGGTTAACACACCACTCTGGTGCTGTTCCCCTGGGGCTCACAGTTTTGCATTAAAGCAAAGGGGTGGAACAGAATAATGTCTAAGGTCACTTTCCGTCCGCGGACAAGGAGGTCACCCTGGTGTCTTTGCAATCTGCCCACAGGAGCCCCAAGATATCACAACAAATGCACTGTCAGGTGTCAGAACTCATCTCAAAACCCAGTGTTGAGAACTGCTGGCAAACGTCTGACCTGAGAGAGGGCTGAGCCCTGAGAGAGGGCTCAGAAAGACAGGAAGCCACCCTGTCAGGGAGAAGGGAGGGGCTTGTGGACTGGGGGTAGGTAACATGCTCCAGTCGCCCCAAGCAGACTAGTTCTGAGAAGAATCTAAGTAAGCATAGATGAGGTGGGGACTGTCTTCACAAGGAGGCCCCAGGTGACTGTGGGCAGAGCACCACGGCTTCTTGTTTTGCAGAGTGAAACCGAGACCCAGGACCCAGAATAGCTTGGGTGCCTCATTGCAAAGCAATCGAGCCTTGGCACTGAGACTCAAAGGCCGGCTCTCACCGGGGTCACGTTTGGTTTGAGTTCTTCTGACCAAATGAGAACAGACAAACTCTTGGGTTCTCAGGCCAGTGATGGGACGTGCAGTTTCCATGTGGATCATGCAACTGCCCAGAGGGTTCTGAAAGTCTGATTGTGGATTTCTTCTGACCAGGCCAGCTCTCCATGCACCAAGCAGCCATTGGGAAAGTATTCTAGAAGTCTCCCTCAGTGGTCTCACTTTCCAGTTTTCAGTAACTTACAATCAGCTGAAGTCCAAAAAAACACTACATAGAAAATTCTAGACGTTTTAAACGGATAGGTTTTAAAGCACCTTTAATTGCTGAATATTGTTATAATTGTTCTATTTCGTTGTTAGCTATTGTTAACCTTTTGATATGCTCAGTTTAAAATTTGGACTTTGTTATAGCACTCCACGGTAGCCAAGGTCTTGGATATCTGCGTGGATCTTGGGAAATATCTGTTGATAAGAGGCCATTGCACAAGGACAAGTTGACTGACTGACTTTACTTTTTTTCTTTTCTGTTTGCTTTCTGGAGACTGGGAAGGGCTTGGGATGAAAGTTAAGGTTTAGCTTCCACAAAGCTCCGTCCAAACACAAACCCCTTGAGTCAGCAACTGTAGCCAGGAAAACTGATGGGGGCGGGTATCAAAGGCAAACATCTGGAGAGTCCTTCCCGCGAGAGGTCTGCCTGACACTTGTTTCTAGGGTAGAATCCTGACAAGACAGGCTGCTTGGGGGAAGGAGATGGAGATTCATTTGTCAAAAAGCCGTATGAGGATCTAGGATCTCCAAAGCATCCTTTTCTTCCAGGCCCATACATGGATAATTTCCCAAGCCTGAGAGGAATCAAGTAATCCTGCAGAGGTCCCAACCTGAGGAGCAGTGTGGGCCGGGCGAGGTAGCAGCTGGCACCTGCAGATTAGACCGTTAGACCCGGCACCGTCTACAAATAGCTCAGAAAAAGTCAACTTGGGGCTGCAGAGCCCAGAAGAATCGAGCTCACACCCTTAAAGAAACCCCCGTGGTCAACTCCAGCAACACTTCCTGTTTTCTAGCTCCAGATCTGGTCGGATGTTGCTGCCCGAAGCAAAGCCAGTCTGGGGAAGCCCCTGTTAAGCCCATGCCCTGGCTTTGTTGGTCAGTATGACTTCAACAAAAAATGGTAGGAAGAGGAAATGTCAGAAAGGACAGAGAAGTTCACTTTTCGTTCCTTTGGTCGGCTCGTGTCCACGTACGCACACACGCACAAGCATACTGTAAGCATATGTTTGCACAGTATACATGTACATACAGTTATGTATAGTGTCTATTCTGCAGGGCTCATTTTGGAGCCTGTAGTAATGGCTCCACTTTACAGATAAGGAAACTGAGGCTCTGAGAGGCTAAATCACATGTTTACAGCGAAAGTCTCCATCCTACTACATCCAATTTTAGGCACACGCAGGAGACACAGAATGGTGGATTTTAGCTGTTTTTTTTTTTTTTTCAGCCATTCGCGGAAGTTCAGAAAATAACAAGGCTTTGGTGTTTGGGGCAGGAAGGGGAAGTGCGTGGAGGCTCAGGGGCCCAGCCCGGCTGAGTCTTTGGTCTCCCCTTCTCATAGCTTAGCCTAGCCGTTGTTTCCAAGGCAGCCAGCAGGGGGCAGTGCACCTCTCTTTTTCAAACCTGGGGGCGCTCTGGGCCATGATCCAAGAAAGAAAACCAGGGGACACCGCCCGCAGTTTCCAGAAACATGCACACCGGTTTAGCGAGGGGGGTAGTAGGTGCTCAGCGCGCTCCTAGAAGCCGCTGGATGAATAAATGTAGTAGTAGTGGTAAGGGACGAGGGGCGTTCCGAGGGCCAGCGCCTTCCGTCCTAGAGGCCTTTTCGCTGAGTACAGTATCAGCACCTACCATGTGCCAGGAGCGGCGGCAGAGACTGCACAGTCCCGTCCCCTGCTCCTAACAGTTTTTCTTCTGGGGAGCACCCCTCACCTGCCGCAGAGAGGGGTGGGCGCTTCATCTCACCACAAGTCCATGAGGGCGTGGGGGACGCGCGGCAGTGATAAACTGGGAGAGGAGAGGGTTCCCCACAAACACAGTGAAAGTCAGGCTAATGCCTGATGTAGCGATTGAGCGAGCTTGTTCCAGTGCTCGGGGTCACTGATGTCTCCTGGGACTCAAGCTCCGAGATGCCGTGGCCAGCCCAGCCCCCACCCATTCGCGCGCTCCTGGGCGCACACATCCTCTCATGGAGTGCCACCAATTCCTACTGGCTAGGACCCTTGTGCAAGAGGCTGGAGACACTCCAGATTCCAGCAGACTGGGAATGGGGGGGAGTGGGTCCGGGCACTCTTTCCAGAGACCCCGTCATGCGGCAAGGCGAAGACGCCTTACCTGTACCACGAGGAGGGCACCGGTTGACTCAATGCCTATCTCGAGTTCAGCTGCGCAGCCTCCCGCAAGGTCACGCTCAAACACTCACGCGTAGAAGAAAAAAAACAAACAAAAACTCCGAGGGCTGAAAGTTGCTTGCGCAACGGTCCGATTTGGAGCTAACAGTACTCCAACCAAGTCGTCTTGTCTGGTGTCACCGTTTCCCCAACCCGGTACACTTATCAAAGGGGCGGACCGTGCCCTGCGCAGGTCACACTATAGAAATGCAGACAAGTTGCTAACTTTTGTCACATTATTTCTTGGCAGCTGCGGCGCCTAACGGGGTTGGGGCGGACTCCCAAGTTTCGAGTTGCCACCGCTGTGCTCCCTCTGCCCACGCTAATCCACCCATTTGCCAACACACCTCATCCAGTTGTCCTGTCCTAAGTGCCAACTTCTCCCGGAGATCCGGAGCAGCGCGGGATTAGAGGTGTCCTGGGGGCCAACAGCCTCCTCCCGGGTCTGCGCCTGCTCACAGCGGATTGGGAGACTCCATCCGGATACTGTCCCACTATCTCTGGTCTAGATAACTAACGGCTCCAAGCGTCCCTACAGTGTCCCAGCCCAAGACCTCGGCTTCTCTAGAGAGTGTGGGCCATCAGCTCCTGATGGAGTCTCCTACCCACGGCCCGGGCGAGGATCTACTGTGGTGCTGGGTGCAATGTCACCGTGGCCGCTCTGGCAATCTCTGCCACAATCACCATAGGCTCCCCACTGAGCTCCGGGAGCCTTCTCCAGTAAGCACCAAAGAGCCTGGAACCCCAGAGGTGGAATCTCCTCCCTGACACTCTTCCTGAGACCACCGTGGTGGCCTGGCTGAGACAGAGATCTCTCTCCTCCTCGTGTCTCCCTCTTGGCGCCAAGGGTCTTCGGTCCCACATCCACTGTCATACCTTCCTAACCCCTTCCCCACACCTTCGGTTCTGGGGTCCGGACGATCACCTCTGTACTCAGAGAACACATGCGGAATTTCCCGAGCTCCAACTCACGAGGGGGCACCGACCCGGGGGCACCCGGACAGCGACCAGCTGGGTGCGCACTCACCCAACGCCCGAGACACGCCGGAGTTGCCCGGCTTGGGGGCACTGAGGAGGTTCGGAGAGGTATCTAAGGAGATGTGTCCGGGATACTCACCCCGGCCAGCTCACACCTCCGGGTCCTCTTCTACCTCCTCTTCTGCCTCCTCCTCTCTCCTCCCTCCGGTCTAGGGCTCTTTGTCTTTGCAAAGTGTCGAAAGTGTCTGGCATAGTGGGCTCCGCCGGCGGAGGCTAGCGCCGGGGAAGCGGGAGGCGGGGTGAGGATGGGAGCGGCCTCTGGAACACCTTCCCCCGGGTGTAACGGGAGTCGGAGGCGGGGCGTCCGGGGAGGGGCCACCTTCGCCCGCCGGCTGGGACCAAGCGGCGACTTGGGCGCGCCCAGCCCCGCAGCCGCCTCTGCGACTCGTAACCCTCCCCTTCCTCCGCCCAGCGCCCGCCCCTAGAAGCCCGGGCTCCCCTGCGCCCCTCCCGCCGGCTTCGGCTCGGCTTTCCCCTTGCTTGGGGCTTCCTGCGAGCCCAATATAGCTCTGCCCGAGCCACGTGGACCACAGCGGACTGGGTGGAGGCCGGACCGGCCTGAGAGATGCCGGAGGAGGCGGCGCAGGGACTGGATCACCGCCCCAGGAGAGGGGCTTTGCGGGAACAGCGGGCGAGGCTAGGGAAGAACTCCCGAGCGGCCTAAAGCTCGTGGGGTCAACCCCGGGGACGAGCTGATGGCCGTGCACCGAGAAGATGTGGCTGGAGGTGTCCAGAAGAGCCCCAGTCGGGTGCGCAGTGGAGAGAGGTGGCGATCCCCCTACGGGTGACCCGGCAGAGCCACCAATTCCTCTAAGGGCGTGGGACTCGAGGTGGGATTTAGGGAGTTTGGGGGAGGGGCATGGCGGGATTAGGGATCGCGGATACCAGGGCTTTGGTCTGTGCAGCCCGGGCTCAGAGCCGCAGAGTCTGGCGCCGTAGCATCCACATCCCCGCCCTTCCCGCCTGCTCGCCACGGGTTTTACCCTTGTAGATGGACCGGCGGCAGCGCGGTCCCGAGCTGAGCTAAGTGGGAACCTGAGTTAGAGCGGTCCCCAAGGTAGTTTGGGGCTGGGGATTTGCTTTGGGGATTAGGCTTGCAGCTTTTCTGTCCCTCTCTGTTTTAATAGGGAAGTGAGGCTAATGGATACGGAATTTACCAAGCGAGGGTCCTAGATCCTAAATAGTAGGTTTAAAAAGCATTTATAAAATCTGGGTTGTCAGTTTGTATCCTCTCACTGGGACTATTTCTTCTGCAAACTTTTTCGTGGAATGTTAAGAGGAGAGACAGGGTGTGCAGGAGTCTCCGTTTTCAGCCGAGGCTGCTTCAAGGGATAAACCTTTGCAGTGGAGGAGGCTAGGGCTGCCTAGCTGTTCACTCATCAGAAGGAGATTGTAATGTAGGAGCGAATTTGCTGCGCTTCTCCACGATTGTGTGATTTGGGGCTCGTTGGGATGTCCTCTGTTTCCTGGGTTTGGTTCCTTAACGTCCTCACTTGCAAATAGTCGGCTTCTGTTTGCTAGGGTGGTTGTGCTGAGCAAGTGGATACAGGCATGCAGAGATCCTGAAACTGACCTTGGCATCTTCTGAGAGCCCAGTTCAAGCCCTCTGCTGAAGGAAGAAGGAGTGGTTTTAACTGTGCTCCTGGCCTGTCTAGATAGGGTAGAGGCATTGTGTAAGACCTGGGGAAGTAGAATTGATTAGAAAGGAGGCAAACAAAGGGAAAATAAACTACTAGAAAAAAAGGGGGGGGTGAGACCCACAAATTCCACTTGTCGGGGTTGGGGAGTACTGTGCAAGGACTCCTTCCTTCAATTAAGCCTCATTGGGGCCTTACCTGCCACTTGACTGCCCCTATCCTCAGGGAATTTGAGGGAGGGATCTCCAAGGTGTCTATGACCTGTGCTGGATCCTCTGCCCTGCTGTCCTAGGTTGATTTGGGTTTCCATGCTAGACAGGGGGTGAGATCCTTGCCCCTTGGAAGTTTCTCTGTAAGCTTTGTTGTTTCTGAGACACCGGTCAGACTGCAGCACCTGGCATTCTTTTGTGTGTATGGGAGAGGAGGGCAGAGTTCCCATCGTATCAGCTACTGGCCCTCCATAGCCCAGCATCTTCCAGCCATATCTGGTGTGGGCCACTTAGATTCTTGGTACCCAGAGACACAGTTTAGAGCAGGCACGCACACCCTGGCAACTCTCAATCAAATGCAGTTTAAATGGTCACCTAGCGGGGCCTCACTGCCAAGAACAGTGCCCTGTGGTTTACAAGGCTGTATCTGCTGGCTGTGTGCCTCTTGATTTGATGAGGCCGTCTGTGGCTGAGGAACACTGCTTCCTGATGACTGCAGTCCTCTCCCTGTGGTTCACAAGGTAGTAAGGAAGTACTGGATGAATTGATGGTCGCATTCTTGCAAGGAACCATGAGTGCATAGGGAATCACTTAGGAAAAGGGAACCATACTATGTGAATAGAAGGCTGCTATTATAGTCTAATGGGTTCTGTGGAGGGAGGTTTAGATTAGGCAAATTAATAGCCCCCAGTCCATCTAGCTATTACACTACGCTGTTGAGAGCCCACACCAGCTCGGTTTCCACCCCAGATTCTTAGTGGGTCCCTGGATGATTTCACAAATGACTCTGGTGAACTATAGTGACTGTGCATAAAACCATTACCTTACCTACACAAAATGCATCTACTTATGGTAAGGAAATGCAGGTGGGACCTTTTTTTAATCCACCTGCTCCCTGTCTGGTACAACAAACTTCTTTCTAGGTAACAGGATAGGCTTCCTATCTCCTTTTTCTTCTTCATTTTTTTTTTTCGGAGTTGTGATGTTCCATGCACGCAGCACTTTAGACACCCTGGACCATTTCCAGAAGCAAAGGAAACAGGCTGCATACAAGGGGTGCATTTCTACTTGTTACCCTGATCATATCTCCCAACATGCCCTGCTGGGGAACCACTGGAAGTAGTCATTACTGGGAGTGCCTGCACAGCGGGTCTCCTGGGGAGCCCTGACATGGATTTAGTGCACACTGCCACCTCCCCATGAGTTCAGAGCACAGCAAAGCTGTCGTACTGATGGCTGAGGAAATTGATTTTCTCTTTCCCCTTCCCCCTTTGTTGGCACACCAGAGTGGAAAAGTACTAATGGGTTCCAATCCCACTGGGCGATTGTGCAGAAAAGAGCAGGGTGATGGGGCTTGCCGGAGGCTTGCAGAGGGGCCAGCACATGCTATTTTGTGTTTTGGGTGGTACTTTCTTGGGTCTCGGGGCTATAAGGAATTATTACTAAAGTCTCCTTAGTGGTTTATGTAGAAATGTCCAAACTAATGCGGCTTAGGAAGCTGGAAGGAGAGACTGCTTGTTGCTGGCTCACTTGCTCTCTCTCTCTCTCTCTCTCTCTCTCTCTCTCTCTCTCTCTCTCTCTCTCTCTCTCTGTGATTAATTTTCCTAGGGAGATGCACAGAAACCTAGTCACACCCAGATAGAGCGGTCACTGACAACCTGAAGAAATTATTCCATTCAAGTTTAGCTCAGTGAACCAACACATTGAGGGGGTTACTTAACAGGAGCCTGAGTGTCAGAAAGATAGCGTCACTGGAGTTCCCTACACCACGTGCAGATAGTTACTCCACTAGAGTCCTCTCTCCCCTGCAACTGCTAGCTGCTTACGTAATCTCAGGGAGGGGCCCCACAAGACCTATAAACTCCTTATGTGTTTCCTGAGCTTCCCCCTCACCTCTCGAGGGAAGGTTTCCAATATGAAGGAAACAGTTACACAACAGTGTGTGCGCGCGCGCGTGTGTGTAAAGTTTTCTCTCTTCTGGAATATCTCTTAATACTTTGGGTGAGTTGGGGTTTTGTTGTTTTATTTTGTTTTGTTTGTTTGTTTTCCCAGCCTCTGATACCACTGTCACAGCAGGGACAATTATTTCAGTCCCACGCCCTGGCTGTTGATCCCTTCAATATTAGACCTTGTTCAGGGGAGGAATCCAATTGACAAGCCCATCCAGGAGGTAATGGGGTCACCAACGCAACCTGCACAGGCTGCCAAGCATTGTGTGTCCATCACCGAGTTGACCACTGGGGAAGAAAAGCCCTCTAGGTTTGGCACTTCAGGGAATGTAGTGAACATGGCATGTTAACTCCCTCCAATCCTAGGAAACCTGGAGGGCGTTTGAGCCAGCCAGACCTGTGTGATCAGCCTCATTCCCAGACTCACCAAGCATGCTGATTGGTGTCAGTCATTTGTGACTACCCAATGAGGAATTCCTGAAGGCTCCTTAGGAAAAGCGGTTCGTGTAGAAATGTCCAAAGTAGTGCGGCTTGGGAAGCTGGAAGGAGAGATTGCTCATTGCTGGCTCTTTGTGTGTGTGAGATGAGTATTAAAGTATTAAGGATGAGCTTTAATACTAGTTAGAGCTATCAGAAAAGGGAGACAAAACGTGCTTGACTTCTGAAGAGTAAACTGGGCTGGATATGTGGCTCCATGGTCGAGCACTTGCCTAGCATGTGTGAGGTCTGGGTTCAGTTTATAGTACTGTATAAAGAAATGGAAAGAAGGAAGGAGGGAAGGAAGACAGTCTTTGAAGTAGACTCAGAAAGCTCTTGCCCACTTACATAAAAACAACAAATTTATTTATTTATTTGGGGGGCACTCACAGAGAGGTAAGAGAACAACCTGCAGAAGTGGATTATCTTTACCACGTCAGTCCCTGGGATCAAACAGGTCCTAAGACTGGGTGGCAAGTGCCATTGCCAGGTGAGCCATCTCACTGGCCTGAACAGGAAACTCTTAATTCATTTTCCCTGTTAGATCTCCTGTGTCCATGAAAGAAGCCAAATGGAAGACCAATTGTTGTCTGGGCGGTGTTCATCATTTAATTATCCCCCCTAGGATCCTAAGTTAAGGTTTGATCACAGTATGGAAATAGTGAGAAGTGCTCTGTACCTTTAAGAGGTAGGGCCTTGTGGGAGGCCTTTAGGTCACTGGAGAATGCTCTTGAAAGGACTGTGGGAGCCTCTCCATTCTCTCTGCTCTTTTCAGATCTATGCCTGCTCCCTCGTGGGATTCAAATACAAAGTGTTGCTATCAGCTGGCCTCTCCAGACAGCCTAACCAGTGGTACCACCTGATCTTGGAACTAAATAAATCAATCTTCACTTTTTAAGTCAATTGTGTTAGGTATTGTGTGGCAGTTACGTACTACATCAGGAGATCCAGGCCTTGTCACACTACCAAAACCTATGCC